TCGCCTACCTCAAGTCCATGGCGCTGCAAAGCGCCATCAAGCTCGGAATTCCCACCGCCATCCATCTTTGTGGCGGCGCCGCCTCCCTGTCTGACCTACAGGCTGCGCCACTCCCTGTCCCTGCAAGCAAATGGCCATGCGTGTCTCGCCTCATGAAGCTGTTAGCCGTCTCGGGGATATTCAAAGAGGGCGAGCCAGGCGTGTACTGTCTCACCCGGTGTCACGCCCCTCCTCGTGGACGACGTCGCCGTCGTCGACGGCGGCGGCGGTGACACGGCATGCCAGTCCCAGTTCACGGTCGCGGCCACTTCACCGTTCCATTTTGCGGCGTCTCAGCGCCTCCCCGAGTGGCTCCAGAGCGAGGACGACCATGCCGCGGCGGAGACGCCGTTCATGATGGCGCATGGGGCGGGGTTCTTTGGCGTTGCAGGCCGTGACTTGGAGTTCGGTGCGCTGTTCAACGAGTCCATGGCCGCCGACAGCCGCTTCGTGGCGGAGATCCTCGCGCGCCGGTGCGGCGGGACGTTTGCGGGGGTAACGTCTCTCGTCGACGTCGGAGGCGGTGACGGAACGACGGCCAGGGCCATTGCAAAGGCCTTCCCGCATGTGAGATGCTCGGTGCTGGAGCTTCCCTAGGTGGTGGACAAGGTGCCGGTTCATGGTACTGTGGAGTTTGTTGCAGGTGACATGATGGAGTTCGTCCCTCCGGCTGATGTTGTGTTACTCAAGGTATGAGTAGTTATTATATATTAATCTTTTGACCTCATTTCATTTTCTTTTGTCTTTTATTAAGACATGCGGATTTTTATGCACAGTTAATTTTAAGGACAAAAAATGTGTGAGGGCCATTCGCACGGAAACACCCGTGCGGACGTATGGCTGACAGGTGGGCCATGTAGCATTAGACTTACCATACGTGTGTTTAAGATGATAACATGGCTCACGTATTAGCTGTATAGTCCGCATGACGTCTTGGTAGGGATGGTCCGCACCGAATTGTATTTCTGAATTGATGAACTTATGGGATTAGCAAACTATCTTATTACAGCTTGTGTTGCATAATTGGAGTGATGAGGATTGTGTTAGAATCTTGAAACAATCAATGTTAGCTATTTCTACTCGAGAACCAAAAGGAAAGGTGGTAATCATAGATACTGTGGCAAGCTCGGCGTCCAAACAGTCACTTGAAGCCCAACTTTTGATGGATCTATGCATGATGATGCTAACAACAGGTGAAGAGCGAGACGAGGAGAAGTGGTATAAGTTATTATTGGATGCAAGGTTTAGTGGATATAAGATTAGCCACATATTTGGGTCTCGATCACTCATTGAGGTCTATCCATAGACGTTAGTTGTGTATGCCAAATGCCCAAATTTCTATATGGGCAAGAATGAGGACAATGGCTTTCTCTATTGTACCATTATTATGCCCCTACAAAGAGGCAGTTTGGGTGTCTTTGTTTAGCCCGTACCTCCTCTGTTGTGGCTTTTTGTATTGTTTCTGTTTGATCTAATAATGGAATTGTCAAACGATTTTGTTCCATTAAAAATACTTAGGCCACATTTAGTTCCAAAAAATTTTGGTTTTTGCCCATCACATCGAATCTTTGGACGCATGCATGGAGCATTAAATGTAGACGAAAAAAAACTAATTGCACAGTTGGGTGAGAAATCGCGAGACGAAACTTTCGAACCTAATTAGTCCATGATTAGACACTAATTGCCAAATACAAACGAAAGTGCTACAGTTGCAAAACCCAAAAAAATTCGCGAACTAAACGTGGCCTTACTACAACATTTGGTCCTTCCACACTAGAACACTAGAGTACATGCATGGTACTCTGTCGTCCTCCGAACCAACTTTGTGTACTTACGTGTTAACTGTTGCCGAACACGTCAACAGTGTTAGGATTTTTTTTTTCACCTCTCGCGATAAGCACAATAGATGCAAGTAGAAAAACAGAAGGTACACACTTAATATTGATGATTACAATGAAAAGCTCCTACCAATATATATTCTGGACAAGACTTAAGAGTTTCATTGCTCCAACGCTGTGGACCATTGTCGGGTCCGAATCCGGCGTCCCTGCTGAAATTGGACTCAGCATCGGGTAATCGATAGTGATGGGCTTGCCCTTGCCTATTATTGTCGGTTCCTAGACCAACAGTGATAATAAGATATCATTGTTGAGTAAAGGCTAGATCCGACATTGATAGGATGATGGCCACTATCGGGCCAAGCCTATACCTAACATTGTTAACCATAGCCCCATTTCCATTTTTATCAATGTATATTTGATTATTGAATTTAAATATAGACTACTGTCTAATATTTGATATTATTATAAAGTTTGAATCTCCATCACACGATTCGATAATGAATGTATCATAATTAAAAACCCATACAAAATACATAAAGATAAACTCGATATAAACCAAGTGCTATAAGGTACAAACCAAATTCCATATAAATATAATTACATAAGTTACTGGTAAATAAACATCAAAATGAGACCATATAAGATCCAAATAATTCTAACTAATCTACACAGCATGATTTTAGGAAAAAATATAACTGGTTTCATATTTTTCTGAGATAAAATAAAATTCATATGAATTTTCTAAGGTTATAACATATTTTGGGATTTTAAATTTCATGTTTAAAAAATAGATAGTTTTCTGGAGATTTACTCTGTAACTTTTAACTTTTCCCCTGAACTATGGAAATCAGGACGCATGCTATGGGCAGGCCTCCACGCTAGCTAGCGAAGCCCATGACGAGGGCCCAAAGCCCCAAACGTGCGCTCCACTAACGGTAGTCCCGTCCGTACTCATGCGAAATTTGGTTGGCTGAGTGTTTGCTCTCAGTCTCAAAATAAACACACATTTGCAAACTGATCATGGTTAGATTTTTTGGCAGAACCTGATCATTCGGGTTTAAGTTCTCGACTTAGCACGGGTATTCGTATTTTTTAGATTTATTTCAGGATTTAACGGCGCTATGCTTTTTATGGTAGACGACGTCCCTGTCGACGGCGAGACGCCTGTGGTGACTTCGTGAATCTCGAGATCTGCTGGCATAGTCCTTCTGAGGTACTCATTGGGGTAGAGTTGTGTACGTGTGTTTATAGGGGTGAGTATGCGTGCATGTTGTGGACATCAACGTTGTACTGTGTAATTCTTGAAAAAAATAAACACACATCTTCTTTCCATAAAAAATAAAAACACATTTTTCTTTTCAAGAAGTTAAATCTTGGCTGGTTTTTGCTCTCTCTGTCTCAAAATGAATGCATCATTTCCCTTTTCAAGAAGGTAAATTTTTTAAAATTTGATCAAATATATATAAAGATATATTAATATTTATCATGTATAATAACTATCATTAGATTAAGCACAAAATATATTTTTAATAAACTTGTTAGAAATATAAATGTTGATATTATATTTTATATTACTAATCAAATTTATTAAAATTCATTTCTTAAGAAATGAGATATGTGTTTATTTTGGAACGGAGGGAGTAACTAGTTCGTCGCACGTAACTTTGAGGTCTGTTTGGTTGGCTAATCCTTGCTCAACTAGACTCGCCGCATACAACTTTAAGGTGTTTGGTTACCAGCACCAGAGTTGAACTTACTTCTCAAATACGGATTTCTAGCTTCATTGGTTGGCCTACATCTACTGGCTGCTTCAGTTGTGTAATAGTAAACCAACTCATAACAATAACCGCAGCCTGCACCTACAACCTAAGAGAAAACGAAAAAGTTGTGCTGAGTGTGTTCGGTCGTCCAGACGCTCCGCGACACCAGCTCAATGACTTAACAATTGTATCCTCTCCAACACTCGGACGCTTCCGTTTTCTAGATGGTTTCCAACACTCGAACGCGTCCGTTCCACGGCACCGTTGCCGCACTCTACCGCGCCGCCTCGGCGTTCTCCTTGACATCCGAGTGTCCGCCGGCTGGCATCTCCACCGCGCCCGAGTGTGATCCCCCGTCTTCCTCCATCTCCATCGCGCGTCCAACCCGCCACGGTCCCCCGCCTTCCTTCATCTCCGCCGCGGCCTTCTCCAGCGCACGGACGGCCTTTTCCACCGGAGCGGTGACAACTCACGCCAGATCCGTTGCAACCTTCTCCACACTGGCAAGCTCTACACCAGTGAACTTTACACGCCAACAAGCCTCCATTCCCAATCAGCAAGGATATATTGCGCTGAAAGCGCATGTTGCAAATATATGTTTCATGTGTTTCAGATGTTTTAGAGTATGTTGCAAGTGTTTCGTATCGGTGTTGTAAAAGTAGATGGGGATGTTGCACGTGTTGCAATGACTATGCACGTATGTTTTAAATGTATGTTCTAAATATTTCATCTGTATCAAACATATGTTTCAAGTGTTTTCATCTGGATGTTGGAAAAGTATATATGGACGTTGCATATACATGCATGTTGCAAGCGTATGCTTAAAGTGTTTTACGTGTTTCATATGTCTGTTGCAAGTATTTCATATGAATGTTGCGTATGTTTACAGTGGTTTTAAGTGTTTTTCAGGAGTTTTGCAAGTGTTTCATACGCATATTTCAAATATTGCATCTATCTCCTTTTGTATGTTATAACTGTTGCATCTGAATGTTTTAAAAGTAGATCGAGTGTTGCATATGAAATGCGTGTGGGAAGCGGCTGTGGCGCGGGCGACGTCTGGGGCCACACGGGCCCACTGCTAGGGCGCTCGCTCGCAAGCCCGACACATTGAGGTGCTCACTCATTCGTTGAGTGGGTACATAGTGACGCTAGCGTCCCGGATCGGACGTTAGGCAGCCGATTAGTCTGAGTGTTACCTTTTGATACACGAGATTTATTTCCAGAGACATCTGCTGGTGTGCAGCGGGCGCGCGCTCGGGCCTCCGCCCTGCCTCGAGACAATCACTTGCACGAACTCACACAACAGCCACGAGCTCACGAACAAGAAGCACGCACACGAGTGAGTGACAAGACATGCGCATCACTGGACCTTGACCTCGGTGACGTTCCGCTTGCGCTCCCCGGTGCGCGGCACGGTGACGTACAGCACGCCGTCCTTCACCTCGGCGGTGATCCCCTCGGCGCGCGCGTCGTCCGGGAGCAGCAGGCTGGCGTGGTACCCGCTGGCCGACCACCACTCGCCGCCGTCGTCGCCGCCCAGCTCCTCCCCGTGCTCCCGCTTCTCGCCCTCGATGACCAGCACCCCGTCCTCCACGGCCACGCGCACGTCGTCCTTGCCGAGCCCCGGCACTTCGAACCGCAGCCGGTACCGCGCCTCGTCCTCGCGCACCTTCCCCGACAGCAGCCGCGATGGCGCCAGGCGCTCCAGCGGGCGGATCAGGGTCTCCGCCACCTGCGACAGCGCGCTCCCGAGACCTGCATGCGCCAATGCATGCATGCATACGCGTTAGTCAGTGTCCATGGCCGGCCGCCGGCCGGCCGGCGTGCATGGGGGTGTTGCTCAACCAAGATGGCAGGTGCGAAGGCCGTACCGTCGACGAGGCGGAACGGGGTGAAGTCGCGGAGGTCACGCCACGCCCAGCGGCCGCTGCGGCGTGCTGGGGCAGAGCGCTCCGACACGGCAACCTCCCGGCGGTTCGCCTCGCCTGAGGCGGCAGAGTCGGCTGCCGACGTTGAGAAAAGGGCGCGAAGTTTCGAATCTGTCGCCCGGGCTGCGGCGTACGCCGGCCTCGCCAGCGCCTGCGCGCGGCCGGCGAGGGCTCTGTTGAGGCACAGGCGAGCTAAAGCCATGTCAAAGCCTTCGCCGAGCTTCTTGATTGTCGCTTCGTCGCTCTGCTGGGTCACCGTCCTTCAGTCTCGCTCTGTTTAGAGATGTAGATGGCGATTGTGTGCATATAAAGCGGCAGAGGAGGCTACACGCGCAAGCTGAGAAGGCCGGAGAGGCGTCTGGAAAGGAGACGGCCCCTTCCATCACCTTCCGGGCGCGACTGAGGATCCATGGAAAGCAGATTTGACACAAAGAGGATACATAATTGACGCCTGCTTGCTTTGCTACCAGAATTTGACATGCCAAATCTTTATATTTAGAGCAACTCCAACATCTATATTTGACTATTTTAATAAAAAAGAGAGAGTTCAACAGCTATTGTATATGGCTTTCTAAAATAGCAAGTCATGTATATCGAAATTCTCGCATGCTAGATATAGCTTGCATGTGCCGCTAGCCATTCATCTCACCCTATTAGAAAGGTTGTTGGAGTTTTCTATTTTTTTTTTGTTGGGATTTCTATGTTAGAGGTTGGCTAAATCATAAGTTTAGCCATCTATTTTTATCAACTCTATTGGAGTTGCTCTTAGCAAACAAAAGTCAGGTAAAATGCTTGCGAAAGATTCTTCAAGTAAGTTTTTTTTTAAACAGTCAAATTGCAGCTAAAAACTTTGGCTAGCCCTAATTTTGGCCACCAACCTATCACAGGCTCAAGGCTGCTCCCACTATTTGTGTTTCTTTTTGTTCCCTGCAGACGTTCTAATTTCTTTACGAAAGCTAACGTGATACATAGTACTGTACTCAGTATAAAACAATGGACTCCTAAACTGAACGCTGTTTGCACAATTACTAGTAACAAGAAACAAAGAATATTTTACATTTGCTCAAGAGGTATGCCATCCTGTCTCTGAGAATCCACATTCATCACGACACAGGCTTTCGCAGCTTACTAAAGTTGCGTACATTTCAGCGATTCATAAGGTGACATCAAACAGCACACTTCCAATAACCAACTCTAGTCGTATAGGCCTTCCTGCTCCCAGCTAACCACGAGGAAACCCACCATTTCCTGACAGGAGACAACCCAGGGAGGTCAATGCATTGTCTAAACAGGACGCGTATGTCAAAAAATGGAAGATGGCATGTAGCTTTTCAAGGTATCTTACACCAAGAGGGATTGGTTGTGGAAATGATTTCGAGCTTCCGAGCAGGCTCTCATATGTAGCATTACAACTGCAGTCACCAGGCAGATATTAGTGCAAAAGGCAGTCCGAAGCTATCCTAATTTCAAAGTATTAAACAAGATTTCACACTGCTGGTGCACCACTATCAAACTATCCACAGGGTAGCAAGGAGATTACTATATATAAATAGCATATCATCGATAACCACAATATATCAAAACCCTGAGGCATTTCAAATGACAATTCAAAGAGTGGCAGAAACCACAACTGGTTCATTTCCAAGCATGAAGCGAAGAAGGTATTTCACAAAACTAACACTACAACATCGAGTTAATATTTTGGCCACTGCAAAGACGTAGAAAATTTAAGACGTAGACGTACCCTAAAAAAAGGAAACTTGGAGAACTAACCTTATTTTTGGTTCTTGACTTTGTTGACCCTGAGAATTACGCCTTCGCTTCCCAATCCATTGCTGTCTAGTCTGGTGCCATAGTAGAAGACCTATGTTTGTACAAGTATGGGGACAGAATATCAGTTAATGAACCATCAGTGGTTTTATTGCTTTATAATATCTAAAACCACGAGTGGTTCTCCCTCAGCGCCTACCTTTTAGGGTTGGGATTCGAGAGTCATAAGAGCAAACAATTGACATTTGGCCATGTGGCCACTGTCAGGGTTCAGTTGGCCTATTGCCAAATAAAAACTTACTTGAGACTGTTTGTCACAATATATTTTTTCCTGCTATGGAGACCAAAAAGGGTTTAGATGGCTTATTGCTAGATTATAGGCTGCATAGACAACATGTAACACTAATTAGTTACCAATTATAGGAGAATAGCTGAGTTCTAAAAACTGCTACTGCATACAGTCATGCTAGGTAATAATTTGCATAGGACATCCATCACATGGCATCTTGTAAAATTGCTATTTTGCTGGATTTTCTGGAGCACAAACACACCATACTGAAATGCAGTTTAAATAAGCATGAACGGAACTCCAACAAACAAATATTGGTCTCAAACTCATGGGAGTATGGAACAAACAATCAAACATTGTAAATTAGTGCACCATAAATTGATATGAGCACCATCTGTTCTGGAGATGTAGATATGTTAACTAGTTTACCTTGATTTACAAATTCATTTGGGGAGCTGCTACTTCCAGAAGCATGCTGATCATTAGGTTGTGCTGCTGTGCTGATTGAAGACATACTATGTCGGGATTGCAAAGCACTGTTCTCCATTTCGTGCGGGCTTGAACTCCAAAAGTCGTCAGATAAATTGCGCCTTTTTACTGAGCGCCCTTGAATTCTTAAACCTTTTGTAGGCTCATCAACAGCTATTATCGGAGTAGGTTGGGCACAACCAAAACAACCTCTGCTCTGTTGCAAAGCCAGGATTGACCAAGACATGATTAGTACTACAAGGTACTTGACGAGTAACAGCACAAATAAAAAAAAGGTTACATTGGAAACAAACAGTCACATAATTCCAAATGTGGAATAGTACAAGTTCAGAACCAACTCCTAGGCCCAGCTTGAACTCATCAGTCTGAAATTATAGGACATTCAATAAGTAAATAGTACAGACATGCACCCAATCGAGGCCGCACTGGTGCTGGACCTCCTCGACACACAAGTGATCCACCAGGCAGTTCCTTTTCCACATGGCTGACACCCAAGAAACTCACAATCACTGGGAGTTTGAACAATAGAAGGGAAAGGGCTTTTTCATCCTGCCATGCCCTGACCTCACTAACTGCTTCACGATTAACATGTGGGACATGCCCTTGGAAGTTGGCATCATCACCCGGCCAGCAAGATCGCCAGGCTCATGAATCTCTCCCTTTCCCTGGTGCCATGATGATCTTGATGCCCTGCTCCCACTTTGGCCAAGGTTGCGTGTTATAGTCTTGAAATGGTAAGTTGCCAGGCATGACCAGACTATTCATTTTCTGTTGCTTAATGGGCTTGTTGTGAAAGAACCTTCAGGAGGATATTGTTACTGTGCTGGTGCTTAAAATTTGAAGTTTATACTTAGATTGGATGTCAAGCTCAGAGCAATACCAGTGATTTTTAATATACGAAGACATCTGTGCTACTTTAGTCAGCTATGGCACCATTTCTAGGTTATAACTTACAAGGGGGAGCAGGGGATCTAGATCAGAGTGGCACCAGTAAAGTGAGAGCTTCATAAGTGTGGAAACTACCCGGACTAATTCGGTGCCAAGGGCATGTCCTGCGTGTAAACTGTGAGAGAGGCAATGCAGTTCAGGCATGGCTGGTTGATAGAGCCATTTCACTTCTCTAGTTCTCCAATCTGGACCCTGAGTGATGATGAGTTTCTTGGGCGTGAGCCATGTGGCTGCACAAAGAAGCAAGGAGCTGCCTTTACCGATCACTTGTGCTTCATTTGTGTGGAGGAGGTTCAGCTTGGCAATGGCGGAGCTTAGTGATAGTGAGGGTCATAGTGGGCCATGCCCCCCCAAAAAAAAAAAAAAAAAAAGCTAGAAAAATTATTAAAGAATGTCTTAGTTTCACCACTTTAATTAGAGCTAATGAAATACTAATCTACCCCCTCTTCTCATATTTCATATTATATTGGCCAAGCTCCGCCACTGCAGCTTGGGGCTGGTGTGCTGTGCGGAAGCAGCCTCGACCAAGCATGTGTCAACAAATATTACCCTGGTAACAATTAAATGATACACTAGAATATTAATAGAGGGGAGCAAACGTATGTTTTTCTTTTCTATCGCTCCGGTTACTTGTGGAGGACATTGATTGCAAGCCTCAGACCAATCACAAAGTGTAGGGTGATAACCAGCATTGCTGGAAGATCACCAAATATGATGATCAGAGATAATGGCCAGTGTAGAAGCAACCAGAATAAAATAGCAAATCAATCATCCATTTCATACAGCTAACTGTAATAAGGCCAGTCTATTTTTCCTTTATATGAGTTAGGTTGTCTAGAGCTAACAGCTAACTGTGTTTTTAAGACTAACAACCATTTTGGAACCTGCTAAGTGGTAGCTATCCATTTAAACAGATACTGAGATTACTCACGGTAACATATTTCATCAAGGGATACAGCGCAGAGCCAATCGCGTCGATACAGGTAAACCCAATCCACAACCAATCACATCAGAGCAGCAGGAAGCAGACAAGCCCAGCAATCAACTGACCGCGCGTAGTAGAGGGAGGGCGGGAGAGAGGGTGGCTTACCCAACGCAGGCGACGCAGCGGCGCACCCAGGAGGAGAGCGACCCGCAGCTCAGCAGCATAGCATCCGGTTCCCGCGCGCCGGCAGCGCCGGCGCCGGTGGCTAGGCTACGAAAGTCGAGCCCGCGCCCGCGCCCGCGATCCCCGGAACCCTAGCCTTGGCCGGCACCGGCCGGCTAGTGATTCACCTGGCGTCGCCGGACAGGAAAGAGCAAAAAATAAATCCCTCGCTCTCGCTTCCTGTTGCTTGACGAAGATTTATTCCGTTTTCCTCCTCGTCCTCTCTCGCCTCGATTAGATGATGCGGCGTGCTGCGATAATGGCGGCCTCCCTCCTTATCTGCAGCAGCTCACTTGGCTTTCGGGAGGGCGAAGGGGAGGAATCATTGCGGCCGCCCGGCTGGATGGGCCCCGCTGGCGCCGTACGTGGAGCGATCGGAGGCGTCCGAGGAAAGATCAACGGCTGGAAGGGTGCTGCAAAAGGACGGGCGGGTCCCCAGTCGTTTCAGTTCAGCCTGGCCGAGGTTAACGATCGGGATTACGTGTGGCTTTAATCGCGACGGGGAATCTTTAGAGTTCTAGGCCGAAATCCTGGCGTGCAAGTCGCTTCAGGCAGCCGTGGGCAAAGTTGAAACCAAAAAATATCTGTTACTTTGATGAGGTTTCCAAACACTTTCAATAAAACCCTCTCGTAGAAGTATGTTAACAATATTTTCGGTCATATTTGTGGATACTATTTCTTTACGAAATAGAGGTTCACTTCGACTTTACTATTTTCCAGCCAACGCACTCTACTCAAATTGAAGGAAATTGTTTGGCCCCTATTCTATTTATTTATTAAGGGAGGGTACATTGAAATAAGAGTTGGCCAGGTCCTCTAAAAAGAAAAGAAGAAACTACTAAGAATAGATAAATGCCGTTGGTTTTATCGTACTACGATATCTTTTATTTTTGTTTTTGGCCATGATTGTCAGGGCGTCAATGCCAAGCCTCGAACCTTACAATTATTATGATTGGCACAATAAATTAGCATAAGCATCAGCATAAGCCAAATTTCAGTGAAGCGAATAGAGCATCTCCGCCCTGTTCGCTCAGATTCGTGCCGTCCGCCTGGACGTCGCGTCCGGACGTGGCTCCCTACTCCACCCCGTCCACTCAGATTCATGCGCTGCCCACGCCCGCCCCGAAAGTTGCCTGGATGGCCGGATGACTCAGCCCTCGCCCCCGGCTCAATCCCCGCACGAACGCATCGGGCGCCGATCCACCTCCACCGCGTTCAGACTCCTCTGCTGAGAAATCGCGCGGGCCTCTTTGACACCGGCGCCGCACGACCTACGCGTCCTCCCCACACCGCCGGTGCCGCCCTGCACCTCCTCTCCATGTTGTTGGCCTCGGCGTGGCCCTACCGCCCTCGTTGACACCAATTGCAACGGTCTGCACTTGCAACATAAAACACTCGTTGCAATCTACGACTAAAATAGATAAAACATTTAGAACATACATTTACAACATAAGTGTATAGTCACTGCAACATATGCAACATTCATATAAAACACTTGCAACATACGTCTGAAACAGATGAAACATATTTTGAATAGACGCTTGCAACATACCTCTGAAACACTTACAATGTATGCAACATCCCGATCTATTTTTGCAACACCCATATGAAATACTTGCAACATACTTCTGAAACAACTGAAACACTTGAACATACGTTTGCAACATACGCTTCTTCCTGTCGTGGTGTCTTTGGCCGACCGCGAGAGACGATGTCCCGATCGGCGACGACCTTCTACTGGTGGCGTGGTGCACGTCGTGCCCGAGACTGGCGAGCGCGGATTGGGGTGCGACGGTGGATGGTCGTGGCACGAGGCGGAGTGGGGTGGTGTGGCGCAGGATGGGGCACGTGACGAGGAATGGTCGTGGCGACGAGGCGGAGTGGGGCGGCCGGGCATAGGATGGGTGCGCGCAGGGGGATGGCTGCGGCGGCGAGGCAGAGTGAGACGAGCAAACGGCCACATGTGGGGAGATATTCTTTTTGAGAGAGCGCGTCCAAGCGGATGGACATCCTCAGTACTTCATTATCGTTTCGTATCACTTTCTTTATCGCACGGAAACATGTGTTAAATAAACACGCCGCTGTATTAGAGTTGGGAGGAGGAGAAATCACTTCTTTTATAAGGATTTTCATTAGATTAGAAACATCTTGCATGAATAAAGTTTAGGGCAGGTTCATTGGGTATTCTAAGTCGGTATAAAGAGGAGAGAGAGAAAATAAACGAGGTGCAATATATTGGAGAGAAGATGCTGGTTTAGAACCATTTTGCATCGGTTGTTTTCTTTCTTTATCATCCCACCTTTCTCATTCTCTCACCACTCATATATTGATTGCTCACCTAACTACCTAGGTCATGTTCGCTTATCTTGTAATCCGTACTTTTCAGCTTGTTTTTCAGGCGGAACAATGTTTTTCTCTCACAACAAATCAGCTGGAACAGTGTTTCAGCTTTTTTCAGCGAAGCGAACGGGGCCCTAGTGGTTTATTTGTTGCGAGTCCCACTCTAAAGCAACTCAAAGAGACACTTTATATTTTCCTAATTTATAAGAATAGAGATTTTAGTAAAAATAACATTCCAACATTCTCTTTATTTGGATCTCTAAATATAAACATCCCCTATTCTAGTTTTCTCGCTAGCCAAAGATGATGAACAAGGATGGCTCTCTAGTACACACCACATATAGAAAAGTTGTTGAAAATACAAAGATATAAAAAGCAACTTTTACTTAAATACCCCCCTAAATAATAATTTAGAGAGTAAATTTAAAAAGGCTCTCGAAGATGCTCTTAGTATATGCTGGAAATTTTGGAGACTTTTTGCTAACAAAACTCCTATTGACATGTCAACTTCTGTGAGTCCCATTCTAACTTGAATATTTTACGAGCCAAGGCCCTTAAGAGCATCTCCAAGACTCTTTTTAAGGCTCATCCTCTAAACATCATTTAGAAAGTTATTTGTATAAAAGTTGCTTTCTATATCTTTCCACTCTTCAATAGTTTTTTATATCTTATGTGCACCCTAGAACCATTCTCGATCTCTAACTTTGGCTAGAGATAATTTCAACGATTAAACCAGATTTTAGGATTTTTAATTGCACTATTTTTCATGTGCAAATATTTGGATAAATTTCTAAAAATTATTTTTATGATTTTTGTATATTATCTTAAAAAATATGTCTAAGACGATTTACCTCGTTGAAATTTCAATTTAGTTCAATTTAGCTCCTTTGATGTGGCACCACATTGACAAAACCATCATCAAAATCATTTAGGTTGCAAAATCAAACATTTTTTAAAGTGGAGAGAGGTTAAAAGAAGAGCTTTTTACCTGTATGGTCCTAGAAAAAAAATGCATTTTCCTTGTATGACCCTTTTATTTCTGAACTTACCTGTATGGCCCCAAAACGAATTCCCTTCCTTCTATGGCCTTCCATCCATTTTGGGCACTTGACGGTGTTAAGTCTAGGGTGAAATGACCATTATACCCCTGGAGAAAAAAAATAAAATACAAAGTTTTGTTTGTTTGTTGTACATTTGGAGAAATATTAAGCAAACAAATTCACATATAATAGTACATAATAAGACACATAATCAAGTACACAAATACATTACAATAAAGTGAGCTTATCATGATAAAAATTACACAAATGCATTGTAATTAATCATAGGTTGACACATAAATTGTTGACAGAATCACCATAGTTCCAGTCTCACATAAATAAGGCCTTACATAAATAAGGTCACACAAAAGACATACATTGTTCTCCATACAACGTGCGAATTCAATATATATATCACAAATCAAAGGCTAAGCTTTCTTTTGCTTCACGTGCTCATGGCAGGGCTGCTAGGAAGTTCTGTCTTGCTTCTTGTATCAATCGATTGGCTATCAAGTGGCACCTTAGGAATGTCTACGTCTTTTTTTTCTTTCGAAGGACTAGCTTCTTCTTGATGGGTTTGAGCTTCCTTTTACCTTGAGCAGATCGATGTTCGTGTG